TGACATAATAGCTCTTGTTCTGGGGAAAGAAGTCATTATGGTTACTTTGGTATTTGGTCCTTTTGTTTGTATATTCTTGAGTGTGATATATATAGTTTACCTTGTTGCTTTCTTCTTGCTTGTGGCTTTGCAGCTCTGCTATTGTCGCTTGTTGGATCTCTGGTGGGGCAGGTTGTTCTATCATAACCGGTGCTTGGTTATTGATGGCTTCCTCATCATCTGTGGCCGTCTGAATTAGCTCATTTAGCTCTGGTATGTCCAGCTGGTCATAAAACTTTGTAGCCGTTGTGCCGGAGAGGTGAATTTCTCCTGTTCATGTTTTGCTGATTTAATTATAATCAAGCAGATGCAGTGCAACTAATATATGATAGTTTATTTTACCGTAGTCCCCGTTCACGTAGATACTGGTGATATACAGTAGAACTGGTCCTCGGTGACTCTTTGCCATGATCTTGTTGAATTCTTCTATTGTTTTATTTCAAATTGTCACCCTGATTATTCTTCCCCTGTTTACATTAAAATGTGCAGAAAGTTTCGGGAGTTAGCATTTGTTTTCTGCAATATTTGTAATTACCTTACATAGTTGGTAGTTGTTTGGAGAGTACAGTCGTAGCTGCATCTTGAGGTTCTTCCGCACTCTTCGAGTGACTCCATTGTTCGTTTCAATGTTGTTCGAGTATTCCTTTAGCTGGCCAATTGTATCTGCGTTTTTGATTTGTTGCAAGGTGTGAAGTGTATGTGAACAGTAGATGACATGTTTGGTAGTAGTTGTTAATGTATTTTCCATCGTACCTGATAGGATTTCTTTTTTTCCCTTGAGCTTGTCAATTTGTTCTTCTGGAATCAAATCCATTTTGTATTTCTGGATGTTGATTGCTGTGTTGGTTGGTTGCACTTTGGTTGACTTTTTGAATTCTATCACCAATGGTTCCTTTACTGGTCTGAATTCTCCCGTGGCTTCCTTGACTCTGAAATCTGTGAAGGTGTATATGGCTTGTTCTTGAATTTTCCTTTCAAACTCGTCCATCATTGATCTCGGAATTTGGACATGGATGTCACGTCCCTATCGCGCAGTGTTTGAGTCGGTCATGTTCTCGTGTCGAGTCTTTGTCCCATGCCCTTTGGGCTTGCCTTGGAAAAAAAAAAAAATTTATAATCTTTAACAATAAATAACTCCGAGTGTGAAAAGAAAATTTCTTAGCAGAAGATGTAAGACCTCAATAGAGCTTGCTCAATCAACATGACCTAGAGAAAATATTAGTAATGTAAACTTAGGATACATTATAAATACTGCACATGCGATTCATATGTTTTCACTTGATCAGAATGAATAAGAAGTTTTTTTAATAAATAACTATTATTTCTTGGTCAAGTTTCTTTCAGACCTTATCGAAAAATTTTGTGCAACTGCTTCTCTTACCTTTGCATCTATGAGGACCAAATCTAGGCGCATTATTATGTTGGAGTTTGCGTTGATGGCCAGCCATTTTCTCGACACTCTTGCAAGTAGGGATCCATTGTCGGCATCTGTGGTTAGCTTGTCGATCGTCTGATCTTCCATTTCCTGCAATTTTTTGGAACTCTTAGTGTCGGTATGAATTTGGATGTATTCTGTTTTGAGGATATATTACCTTATCTTGTTGAGTTGTTGCTTCTGTCGGGCTTGCGTGGTAGCCTTGGGATTGCTTTTGTCAACTTTTGACAGTGGTTGCTGGCTCCTGTCCTTATTTCTTTTGGGTTTTATATGGGACCTCACAGTTTTGTTTATGGTTGTCTTGATGACCATGTATTAATTTCTTCGAGAATACCATTGGTTGAATGTGTCTTTTGGTTTTCTGCATTTAGGTGCCTTATAATAGTGGTTGTGATGATGGGTTTAAGGTTCTTCAATTACACCGTTTTGAGTAACTGTTGTGGTGATGCTGTAGTTTGATATTATTGTCGTGGAATAGAATGAGTTTCATTAATGGTCTGCTAGCAACGGGAACTGCTCATTATTGGAATTACTTGACAATTATAGGGATGATGTTGCGGAATCAGAATCGGATAGAAGTTTAAGAGTATGATGTAATTATTGGGTGGGATTTATTTCGTCTTTTATTGTTTTGTCAGTTGCAATGCATATAATCATTTCGAGTATTTTTTGTGTGTGTTTAATTTGTGTGGTTGTTGTTATTGTCCTTTATTGCTTTGTGTTTAATCATTTATAGTAATTTATTTGGTTTGGGTCTAACTTGGATTGTTCTTTGCAGGAGTGCATGTGGAATAGCATGGGGTTCCGTTACTCATTGTAGAGTGAATATAGATGGTATACTTATGTGGCCTTTAGTTCATCATTGCATGGAGAAGCTAGCACGGCGGGTTTACGTTTCGACCTCTCTCATATCCAGACTATTTAAATTTGTAACTGTCATTCATGGTATTGTGTGGCTTTTGAGAGGCCTTAGTCAGCAGAAATGGTGTTAACTTTATATTGTCATATTAAGGATAGGATATTGGAATAGCCATGTCTTTCATAATGATAATTTTCGTTATTTGGTTTGTACTGCCTTTTAGAATTGTTATTAAAAATGCATTAAAGTGCAAAGATGTTGTCTTTCCTTCAACATCAAATGGTTGTTTATGATCCATTAGCGAAGCTTTATTGGCTAAAGAGTGCAACCTCGTCTATTTTTCATGACACTGAAGGATAACATCAAAGCTATTTAACTGACAGTACTTCCATCCAAACAAAATGAGTAATGAAGCTAACCAAACTAAGCAAATATTTCCTTGTATACAATGTTTTGCATCCATGATAGTGGTTTGTCTTCGTGGTCACAACTGAGGATCTTCAAACCTTTTGTTGTAGTGACTCGTGACAAAGCAACATAAAGTTGCCCATGGCTAAAGACTTGTTGTTGCAAACAGAGTCCTACCCTTTGTAGTGATTGGCCTTGACTTTTGTTGATTGTCATTGCGTAGCACAATGCAATTGGGAATTGCCTTCTTGATAGTGTAATATTAAGACTCGGATATTCTGTGGCAAGAGTCATGCGAGGTAAGAAGACCATGTCCCCGATATGAGTCCCGGTAATAACTTCAGCTTCAATGAACCATTTGCCCATTTTTTTGATAATCAGACGTGTCCCATTACATAGCCCAGATGCCTGATCAATATTCCTTAATAGAATCACTGGAACTCCAAGCTTCAACTTGATTTCATGATCTGGGAAGCCAGGTATTTGCAAGGAATTTAGCAACTCTGCTGGGAATTCTGGGTGCTCTATATTTTGCTTCCCATTCTCATTCTGAACATAATCAGAACTGAGATATGTGATCTCTTCACCTGGGATCTGTGATAGAACATACTCATTCAATTTGTGCACCATTTCGTGGTGAGGAGCTAAAATAGCTCTACTTGCCAAATATTCTGGGTTCACATAATTGCATTCGAGATGTGGATATATCTCTCTGACAATGTCAATAATAGGTTCTCCTTGACGTTCCACCATCAATTCACTTGGAATATCAATATTAGCTTCGCCAAAAACTGAACAGTCTTCGCCATCGCCAATTTGTAGGATCCATTTACTGAAATCTGCGATATCATTTAGCTCAGTTTCTGAAGAATTAGGTTGTCGCAGTCTCAAATTTTCTGTGAGCTTCAATATTTCCAGATCTTGCCAGACATATGACATTTTCAAAGATGCATCGACAATATCGGCGCTACTTCCTTTCTTTATGATTGGCAACGTCTGCCTGAAGTCACCCCCAAATACAACTGTCATTCCTCCAAATGGCTTGGTAAGATTGTTTTTGTTGTGCTTTCTCATGATATCTCTCAAAGTGCGTTCCAATGCCTCAATTGCATTCCTGTGGGCCATGGGTGCTTCATCCCAGATTATCAAAGAAGCATTTTGAAGGAGATCTGCAACATCAGAGCCTTGATAAATGTCACAGGTTGATGTTGGATTCAACTTAATAGGAATACGAAACCTCGAATGTGCTGTTCTTCCTCCGTCCATGAGCAAAGCTGCTATTCCAGAAGTAGCCACACAAAGCACTATCCGCCCTTCAGATCTTAGCTTGGCACTAATCACTTTCCAAAGAAAAGTTTTACCCGATCCACCAAATCCTTCTACGAAAAAGCATTTTCCATTATTTGTATTAATAGACTCCATTATCTGGTCATATGCAACACGTTGATCATGATTTAGCTTAGGGAAGTTCTTCTCAAATTCTGTACTCATAGAACTCCTGTTGTAGCTTAATTCTTCCGCTAGTAATCGATTTGCTCTATCAAACGTATTGCAGTTGGGAATTGGCATACCTGGAATATCAACCATTGACTTTCCAATCTTGTGGAATAGCTTCTCTAATTCAATGAGACACAACTCTTTTGTTTCATCTGGTGATAAATGTAGTTCTGGTCGATTGAGCAAGCTGCGCTGATAGTGTTGGATATCATCACTGAGCAACTCCCAGTTCTTCTCCCACAATTCCTTGACGTTTGATACTTGTGAATACGCCACCATCGTCACAAATATCCTCCTCATTTTGGTCCCTGAAGCCCATTGTGAGACCTCCTTCAAGCAATCGTGCCATTCATCATCTTTGGCCAAGAAACCCATTGCATAACATGCCTCCTTAAATTTCTCATACACAATCCCATTCACTGTTCGAATTTCTTCGAAACTTTTACACCCTTTGACGATATGTAAAAGTAATCGAAGATAGTACCTCTCACCTGAGGATGGATGTGCATAGTACAATCTCCCAATGCATGTTTTGTTCTTTCTAGACCTCCAAGTTCTAGTTCTTTGGTCCCAGACATAAAATTGTGGGAACTGAATGAAGGTGTAATTTCTTGCCTCAGGATCTATTATATTCATTTCCATCCATGCTAATAGCATTGTCCTTGTTGCCGCTTCAGAGGAAAGTACCTCTTCTACTGGTTTGTCATCCTCATAAATAAGTAATTGCTCCCCTGGTAGGTGAAATCTCATTCTTAAAACTGCTGGGTAATGATAATGAATATCAAATTTGAAGATTCTCCAGCAGGCTTCAGCAGCTGCTAAATAGCGGCAATCAAGGAAGGCCTTAATTTCATCTAGATCCAAAGGGACTTCAGTTTTTTGAATTTCTGAATCATGTTTTGCTCTTTCCTCAACAATTGTTGCCCTTGCTCTGTCTGGTGGCTTGTTTATGTACTTGAAGAGATATTTAATAGATCTGCAAACATTTGATTAGGCTAAGTTAGAAATGTACTTTCCCAAATAAAATTTTTCCTGTCTAAATAATAACAAACTTAGTTGAGATATTTTCATACACAACAAAATAAGTGAGCAAAATTATCCCAAAATTATTAGATTAATTATTTTAAATTGAATTTATCACAAACACATAAAAAATATCATATTCTTTGAAGAAATATCGCATCTACATTTATCATCTACATCTTTTAATGTGTAAAAAATCCCACTAACCATTAAAGAAATCAAGGTCAAAGAAGATTAAGTACTTCCATAAGTTAAAATTTGAATTTGTCCAAAATAAAAATTTCCCGTCGAAATAATATCAAAATTAGTTGAAATATTTTCATACAAAACAAATTAAGTGAGCAAAATTATCACAAAATTATTAAATTAATCATTTTAAATTGAATTTATCACAAACACATAAAAAAGATCATATTCTTTGAAAAAATATCGCATCTACATTCCTATATATATATATATATATATCATCTACATTTTTAAATGTGTAAAAAACCCCACTAACCATTAAAGAAATCAAGGTCAAAGAAGATTAAGTAATCCTAGAAAGAAATATATTTCAAAATGTGTGGTCTTTGTCGTTTTCATTATTTGACAAATTTTTTTTAATTTATAAGAGAATCGACTATTACTAACACAAATACACTACGCACATAAGAATAAAAGGAACAAATGAGGCGAATGTACATGGAACAATAATGAACATAGAAGAAATTTTTATATAGAATTAAAACGTTAAACTAACCGATTCTTATTGCAAAATTCGACGTTGATATGGGCTTGGAATCGCAAGAGGAGGTAACGATTGTAGGGAACCACGAAACGGTTGTCAAGTTGCACACCATTTCGAACTATGAATCGACCATCTTCTCTCCGACGATACCTTGCAAATCCATCATCATCTATTGTTGTTTGAGAGCAATATTTTTTGGGGAAATGCTTAGAACACTTTCCAGCAGATGTACAACTTGCTTTTGGGAAAGCATTTCCGCACGGCCCATGAATCATGAATTTAGTCACAGCATAGTAACATTCAGGGTCGGTGTCGATATCCGGAATCTCGGCTTGTATAATTGAATCAATATCGGCTACCCCATTCAGTTTGTCTTGCTGGGCCAAGAAAATTAATAGATGTGCATGTGGAAGTCCTCGCTTTTGGAACTCTATGACTTGGACAACTACAAATTAGAATAATACAAAATGTGATCAATGTTTTAGATATAAGACGATTGGGGGAAAAAATGTAGTAAAGGAAACTCACGTGCGCAAGTGTGTCCAAATATTTTGTTGTTGTTGATCTCATGCAAGAGTTGATCCAACTTTAACTTGAAAACTCTTGCAATGATGTCTGCTCTATGAGTGTCTTTTCTTCCGGATGCTTTCACCAAATCGATCATGAATTGAATTTCTGGCCAGTTTGCGTTGCATGTAAAAGTCACGAATAAATCTGGATATCCCATTGCTCGACATATGGCCATAGCATCTTGGTAATTCTCATACCTGTACCTTGGGCTACCTGTATGCGAAGAGCTTAGAATGACATGCTTCCCTGTGGTTTCGGTACTAATATCTCCTTGAAAAAATGCATCCATCAAACCATTCAAGTAGTTTGTCCTCAGTTTGCGTTGGTTATTCCTAATCCAATCCAAACGCTCAGCTTCCACTAAAGCATAGGCATTGACCACATATTGCTGGAATAGTTTTTCAGATAATAATAATGTGTGCCCTTCATGAAGCCTTGTTTGAATCCTATACGCATAAAAATCACACTGCGTTAGAAACTTTTCGTTTGCATCCTCGAATCCTTCTTCACCACATAAATAAATATCTTTGCGCCAACCATCTTCTCCGTAAGGGAAGAGCAATGGATACTGCAATGCCATTAAGCTAGGATGGTAGATACTAATTCTTTGAAGTTCAGTGGTCTGGTGCTCAACAATAATATCTTGTTCATAAGATGTTTGGCCGGGATCGTTCACAATAAGAGCTGCAACCTCATTTCCTGTAGGAAGATCATATTCCCGACCATCTGATCGCCGATTGGCAATAAGTTTAACCTTCAAATGTTGTACACTATCATCATTGATCCTGTCTTTTGCATACCGGAATGTTTGTACCAATTGCTTGGAGACGATTCTCAGCTTCTGTCTCAGTTTGATGAATGTACAATTGAGCAAACTTCGCACTGGATCCTACTGGGGGTAACAGACTGCCAATTTGATGATAAATTTGGCCTCCAATAGAAAATACATAGACGCCACGTCCATTATTCAAAGCGTGATCAATCTTTCCACCCATTGAGCTAAAGCAGAAGACACCATTATACATCCTGATACAGTCACGAAAGTGCTTGCCAGCTTCACTGTTTGACTGCAATAGATCTCTTAAGAATTCAGGAGGTTCTCGAGCCGGAGGAAGTTTTACTTTGCCTTTTTTGCAACAAAGAGAAAATTTTGAAGACCCTGACTTTCGAGACCGAGATGTACTTTCTTCTTTCCACATAACAGCTGCACAGTATTGGCATACGCTCGAAGGAGGGCCAAGAGAAAAGCAGTCGACATGCTTCGAACCTATGTACATAAAAGATAACGTTAATTAGAAAGAAAATATATCTATAATTGTATATCATACGCATATTCAATACATATCAACAATATACCTTTCTCAATTGTGGTAGGAAATATCTTTTTTTTCTTTTTGGCAGCAATCATTTTGATCTTTCTATTCATGCGTTCAGCTTTAGCATTTAGCTTAGATAGTGAATAGTTGCAACCTGTAATATTTATTGTAAATTAGTTTTTTGAAATCGTAAAAAAACCATATTACATGCCAGTCAAAAATTAAGATAACTTTAGTTACCTATTAAGTACTGGAATGCTAGTACATCCATCCTTTTTGAACATAGCACGATCCGTCGTTTCATTCGTGCTATTTTGGCAATTAAGGTCTTGGTTGACCTTGATTGTGCCAGGAAATAAGTTTTTGCTACATACACATCAGGAGCAGTTAGACTACAGAAAGGATCCCATAAAAACATTAATTAATTAGTATAGAGAAAAAGAAACTACCGCGATCGAAATCCCACGAACATCGCGCAGTATCAATTGTCCGTGCAATTTTGTAGGTGCGAGGAACTATATTGTCATCCACGTCATCAATCTTCCGCTTACCCATGCAATCTAACTTGGAATTTTGTAGCAAAACTAACTACAAATATTAGTATTGGAATTGTGAAAGCGGCAAACTTCAATACGACTCAATTGGTTCTATCTTGCAACGCCCCCCTTCAGTAACCGGGTATGATGCATCAACAGTAACAATAGTTGCCAAAAAAAACAATTAGGTCCGAATTCAAGCTTTAATTTGGAATTCAAATAGACCAAAAGCAACATTCCGTAAATGAAAAAACAGTGAGAATTGGAACAACTACAATATGAGATTGAATTATCCCAAAATCAATACTACATAAACGAAAAATATCATTGCAAAATATATTTTGAAAAAGCCACGACATAGAAATCGAGGGGCGCTATAGGAACATACCAGCCGGTCTATTGTTGCTAAATAAGCTATGAAGATTAGAATATGTTGTTGTTTGGTTAGCTTGCTTCGCCTACCATCGAGTTTTCTGCACCAACCACACAAAAATAGGAACCACAAAATTCAGGATCGAAAAATACACAATTAAGACCACATGCTCTTCTCCGCACTGTAACTCGACGGATATCCTCCATATTCAGCTCATCGAACTCCGGCTGCCGCCGAGTAATTCAGCCGGCGAAATATTTTGATAAAAGAAACAATAGAAAAAAAGGACTACACAATAGAGCAGTGGATTAGCTCGATTGACCGTCGCGCTACGCTATCGATGGCGAGATTGAACGATTAATTAAAAAAGGAAAGTGAAAGGACCGATCGATTACTTACGGGCTTCAGCGGGCGATGGTTTCTCGGGTATTATGAGCTCTCTGTGTCTGGGATTCCTGCTTGCGGCCAATATGACTTACGGGCTTCAGCGGGCAATGGTTTCTCGGGTATTATGAGCTCTCTGTGTATGGATTCCTGCTTGCGGCCAAAAAGAATAGAGAGAGGAAATAGGAGCATTTCCGCTGGACAGCAAAGGGAGATAAAGCAACTCACTAATTAATCTCCTTAAAAATGGGAGCATTTCCACGGGATAGCAAAGGGACACAAATCATCTCTCACTAATGAATTGTTAAAGCTAAATAATTCAATTTTTTCCCTACGGTGACGTTGGGATGCTGGGAGCTCTCCATGAGCTGATGTGGCACAACTTTGGTTTTGAATTACTATAATAGTAAGTAAGGATATATTTATTACGGTTTAATTGCATGGTTGATCACTGAAATTACAAAAAAACATTCATGTTTGGTCACTAGAAATATTTAATTCCATTTGTGGTCACTAACTTTACATTTTCGTTTCATCATTGGTCACTCTCCATCCAACTCCGTTCACTTTGTCCTATGTGGCAGTCAACTCTATTAGTTGACTATTAAATGAGTGATGTAGCAAATAAAAAATAAAAAATATAATAATTTCCCCATTTTCAGAACTCCTAAAAAAATTATTTTTAATCTAATAATCTCTCATATGCTGCGTAACTTCCACCTGCGCTTCTCCGGCCTGTCCATGGAAGTTAGATCCACCACCGCCCCAACGTTAGCCACCTGAGGAAGTTCGCCTAACACGACCCTGCTTTTCTTCTTCTCTTACTGGATAGGAAGGCGAAGGCGAAGTCTAAGCCGATGACTGTTGCTCCTGTTCCTGAAGAAGATATCTCGGCGGCGACGGTCAAGTTGGGGATTGAGGACGGAGATGGAAGACCCCGATGATCCTCAGATGTGCCAGCATTATGACTCCGACATTTATGATTACCTTCACAAGTTAGAGGTGATGAGATTTTTCGATTGGACATTTGCTTTTCCAGTCTGGGAAGTTTCGTGAGACTAGGGATTAGAGTTTTTGTTTGGATTTTAATTTAGGGGTTTGATCTTTAGGCTTAACCAAAGAGAAGCCCCTGCCTGATCACATCGACATGGTCCAATCTCAAGTTACTCCCAACATGAGAGGGATTCTTGTGACTTGTGGAGGTTGCTTCCTCGCCGGCACCGAGTAACACCGCCGTTGTTATCTTCTCAGTGCAGTGGGCAATTAAAATGGGGAATTGCTAATTGTCGCCCTAACTTTTTAATTGCCCTAAATTAAAATTACCTTCGTATCCTTTTTTATTGTGAGAATATTTTATTCTAACAAAAAATAATTTATCACTACCACCACCGGTCGGTCATCCATTGTTTTGATTCTCACCACCGCCGACCCTGACCCCGCCGGCCACCGCTATATCAATCAAGAGAGGCAACTTGACCGAGAACAATTCAATCGGGGCCGGCCACTATTGCATAATTACCGCAGCCTATGAGAGATTATTAGATTAATAATAATTGTTTTTTAGGAGTTGGGAAAGTGAGGTGAAAATTATTAAAATAAAATTATTTTTCTTTGCCACATCACTCATTTAACAGTTAACTAATAGAGTTGACTGCCACGTAGGACAAACTTAACGGAGTTGGACGGAGAGTGACCAATAATGAAACGAAAATGTAAAATTAGTGATCACGAATGTAATTAAATATTTCGAATGATCAAACATAAACATTTTTTTTATAATTTCAGTGACCAACCATGCAATTAACCCTATTTCTTGCTCAAGGAACATCAAGTGATATGAAATGCACATATGCTTTTCCAAAAGATCATAGCATAAATATCCTTTATTCTTGTCGCTATATTCCACCAACACACATATCACGTGACCTTTGGAGCAAGGTTATGATGGTCCTTGTGAGGGATCAAGAGAAAACACTTACAACCAAACACCCATATTTAGTCAGGTTGTCTAAAAAAGAGAGCATGGTAAGATGAATGTTGTCCAAAAATCTGCATGATTTGAAGATTAATCAATTGAACAACTCTATGTACTGCCTTTTGCCTTGTAGGAACACGAGAACGAAATAAGAGAGCTTGTGTGTGTTCCATAACATGGCGATGTTTGTGTTTTACCACGCCATTCTACCGAGATACACCAGGATATGAGTGTTATGGAAGAATTCCCTCATATAACATACACCCATGAAAACAAAATAGTGTAATTGATAAATAAAGGAAAGTATTTGAATTCCAGTCAGGACATCACTGGAGAGCGCCTCCCCCTCCCCCCAAATTTGTATGAACCAAGTCAAATGGCTCATCATAAACCATATTACATGTAGAGAAATAAGTTTGCTAGGCCTTCACCTCAATACAACTCACACACGTCAATTTTTCTACAACAATTTTTTTTTATCCAATTTATCATGTAACAATTTTTGTCGAAAATGGATTTCAATCTTCCAAAATGAGGATGGCCTAATATACATTCTATAAATCCCATAGACAATTCTTAAAAAAAAAACACAGAGAACAATATATTTTCTTGATGACAAAATTATCTAAATAACCCATACAACTCATCCCACAAACCCCCTCCTATCACTCGAAGTTCCAGTACCATCTGCATCTCGAAAACTCCTATCAGTTCGCAATCTAGAGGTTACATCTGATCCTTGAAGTTCATCAAGCAGAAAAATCTACTTGTGTTTTCTTCCTTTCTTGATCAGCTTCTTTGTCGTCTGTAAAGGACGTATTTCACTTAGTGTGTAGTCGGCTAGGGCTTTAAGGGTTTAATTGTCTTTTCCCTTTGGCCGAGAGTGTTTTACTATAACCCTAGGTGATTGTGTATGGGGTTATATATATTTGTAACTTGTAATCGGCTGCCGCTAAGTGAGTAAGAAGCTGAGATAGCAAAACTTCTCCGTGGAGTAAGCTCATTCACACCAAATGAGAAGAACCACGTAAATCTCGTGCTGTGTGTGTTGATCGCGTTTACGATTCTTTCATGGTATCAGAGCTGGTTTTCTAAACCAAGCTTTTCGTTATGGGTGACAAAACCATAGTCAGCGGCGGGAGTGGAGGAAACAATAACGTACCTCCGATCATACCTGCTGCCTTGAAGATTCAAGCTTCCGATAACCCCGGTCAGTTGTTTGTGGGTGAGTTGCTCAACGACTCCAACTATGGAGAGTGGGTCACGGACATGACTGAAGCCCTAATTGCGAAGAATAAATTAGGGATTGTTGATGGGACCATTGTCAAACCTGAAGCTGCAGGCGAGCTACGTGAGGCATGGCTCCAGTGCGACGCCCTCGTCAAAGGCTGGTTGAAGACGGCCATGGACAAGGAAGTGAGGAGCTCGATCAGGTACGCCAAAACAGCAAGGGAGATGTGGATTGATCTTGAATCAAGGTTTGGCCGAGGTTCCGCGCCTCGTGCATATGAGCTCCGCCAAATGATGAGCACGCTGCGGCAGGAGAAACTCACTGTTTCCACGTTCTTCACAAAGTTGCGAGCAATCTGGGAGGAGATGCAAACCATTACTCCCATACCTCGCTGCACATGTGGTCAATGTATTTGTGAGATTGATAAGAAAGTCATAAGTAACCTAGAGAATGATCGGCTGTTCGACTTTCTCATGGGACTTGGCGACGTGTTTGGGACTGTGAAAACCCAAATTCTTTCCATGAAACCAACTCCCACTCTTGCGGAAGCCTATAGGCTGGTTTCTACAGAAGAACAACATCGCCAAATCGTGGCGAATAGGCGTCCCGCCATGGATGCAGCAGCTTTCCAAGCGCGTCATGATCGTGCGT